GTCCGGCCATACCCAGGGCTGTCATACTTTATGTGTAGTAGTAGTACTAGAATTTAAAGGGGAAGTTAAGGCAAAAATTAAAATTTCACCAGTTGTAGTCTTCGGGGTGCTGAGTCGAATGGTCGTGGTCCGAGGAAGCTGAGACGCTCCCTTCCTACTTGAATCCCAATCGAACTCGCGCACTTCCACCGAAACTGGGTGACTGCGCCCTACGAGATGGGGATTTGTATGCAAAATGTCACTAAAAGCGCCATTTCGTTCTTATAAAAGCACGGATGACCGCGATTGGCCCATATGTTGTAGTCTTTTGGACGCTGAGTCGACTGGTTTTGGTCCGAAAAGGCTGCGATGCAGCGTTCCGCCTTTATTCCCAATCGAACATGGTTGAACAAGCGGTCACGTGCTCCTGCGTACGCCAGTCACTTGGTCACCGTGCCTGCAGGGTACAACTTACTAGCCTGTTTGACCTTTTTTGGGTGCAGTCCTGTCACTCGAGTTGAACTCGAGTTGAACCTTGGTGTGAAAGTTGTCACCTGCTGGCGTGGTGACCAGGTGATTTGGGCACCCAGGAGCACGTGACCACTTGTTCAACCATGTTCGATTGGGAATAAAGGGGGAACGCTGCATCGCAGCCTTTTCGGACCAAAACCAGTCGACTCAGCGTCCAAAAGACTACAACATATGGGCCAATCGCGGTCATCCGTGCTTTTATAAGAACGAAATGGCGCTTTTAGTGACATTTTGCATACAAATCCCCATCTCGTAGGGCGCAGTCACCCAGTTTCGGTGGAAGTGCGCGAGTTCGATTGGGATTCAAGTAGGAAGGGAGCGTCTCAGCTTCCTCGGACCACGACCATTCGACTCAGCACCCCGAAGACTACAACTGGTGAAATTTTAATTTTTGCCTTAACTTCCCCTTTAATATTTTACTAGGGAACTCCCAACAGGCGTTGCCTTTTCACTGAGAACCCTAGCAATGACTTGGTGCTTGTGACAAATGCAGAAAATGTGATGGTGGCTACACATAACAAACCAGCATTTAACACAAGTCGGTGGGCTAAAAGTTGCTCCGGGCATGGCCTGACCAACCGGACCGGTTCCACCGGGCCTGTTGCCCCATACTTGGCAGGTACAACCCGTTATAGTACATTTACGAGTATGACCTCACAAAGTTCATGACCTTTTTATGCAGAGCTGGTATCAAGGTGTGTACGGTTGTAGTGGACTTGCCCCGCAAAACCTAACACCGGGACCTGCATGCATACATCCCATTGCAGAGATATGCGGCGTTAAAGCAGATGGGTTGAAGCATGTACGAACAGATTGTGACTGAGACGCTATCATTTACAGTACAACTCCAATCCGGGCAGGTTGGGACCGAGCACATACTTACTGCATACAAGTAAACATTTCTTTATGCCAATCAATAGTTTTTTGGGGGGTCGTTGAAAAGCCATTTTTATGACTCTTGATAGGTCAAAAAGGTGCCATGTGGATGGAAGTACCCGGATTAGGGACATCCGGATAAGGGGAGTTTACTGTATGCCGTATCTATAGCTAGTACCTTCGGCACGCTGCTCTAGGACACACCTAACTTTCAATTTATATCCTTCAATCGGTGCCAGGTTTGATATTGCGCTGCATTGTGTCCATGTTGATGTCGTACAGGCACTATTTGGTCCAATCTGAGCGGCACGGCCTGCCCTGAATGCTACAACCACACAAAGAGTGACTGGGATGTGGCGTACGCACACGATAGTGACGACTGGAGAGAGAGAATTGCTGACGTAAGTGCAGATTTGGAGATGGCTACCACGTTGAGAATGTTACAGGGCATGCATCACACAAACTCCGGGTTGCGTGAGTGGAACTCCCTGTCAGCAAAAAGTCACCTTCTACAGTCCAGTCTTGTGCAAGGTGAACGCTCAACGCCTGTAGTCAGATCTGAAGTTGTTTCTGCTGTGCTCGCTGATTTCACTACGCTCCAATGATGGTTCTTGTTTCTGGACAGCAGATATAATTTATGTCTGCGATAGGTCACATTCACTTAACAATCTAGAGTCTATACAGTAAGCACCCCACCACCATACCATTTCCGTGGCCGTGTTGTGGAGCGGCTTTTGATGAGATGGTGGCTCAATAGTTACGGCTCTGTCAGGATAGTGGAATGGAATGATACTCACAGCACAAGTACACTTGTGCATGCAAACTGCTGAGTTCTAAGGCAGCATAGTGTTGTGTCTCATTCAACAACTCAGTTCCTGGAGGATCAGAATATTCGACGGGGTGGTTGCCCCAAGGGACAGTACAACGAGATGGCCACTCTCTTCTATGTTGTAAGTCAAAGCAGCACAGATGATTTTCTTTGTTGCAAAACATTCTAATAAGTGGTGCTGATTGAATTTCAATTGTTCTGCATATTTTTTCTAGATTTTCAACACTTCCACCCACCTGGCAAATACTGTATTATATGATCAAAAACATTGTTGCTCAGAGCGTATCCACATGCACCCATGTTTGGATATGCGTGTACATAACACTTCTTGAATCATTCAACGTGCTACTTGATCCTTGTGCATAGTGGCAGTCCTATGCATGCGGAAAACTCAGTTTGAGCCCAATGGGAACGGAGTGCTCTTTGCCATATTCAGGCGCTGGCCTATGGAACTGTATGCCTTCTGAAATCCGTTTGTGTTCATGCCTTTCTCCTTTGTTCTATATTCCGAAAGGCCCACGGGGGGGGGGGGGGGGGGTGCCCTCGTGAGAAGGCCCAGAGCTTGGGGGGATTTCCCTGAGGTTGTGGGGATTTCCCTGAGCTTGTGGGTATTACCCTGTTGAAATCAGATCAAGCGATGCTAGCGACATGCACTAATGTAAAATGTTGCTGTTTGCTCTGCATCTTACAATCATAGAGTGGCCATAATGGTGTGGGAAACCTCTTCAAACAGGGAGCCTATGACTACTTACATGCAGGTCAGTACACATTTACATCAGCATATCATTCTAAGTCATTCTAAGTTCTCATCCATTTGTCGACTTCCTTTGCTCCATATTTTACCCTGAGCGTTTTTTGCACCATCCTGCTGGTTAGTCATCTCAAGGTTTACAAAATCAGATAGGAACCTGAGAGTACCGGTAACCTTTCAACATGAACATCTGTAACTCGCTCCACGTCTCCTCTCGGTGCAAAGACCATGCATTGACGCAGTCTTTCGCCGAATCTTGGCCTAATCCACTGGCACAGCTGACAAGTCACTGCTACTAATATTGTTTGTCCTCACCCTTTTGCATGGTGGTGCATCTGATTGAAAATTGAAGGACAGAACAACTTTCGTGGGTCACGTTCCAGGCACCCAAAGCCCTATAGACTCTATAGAGTCTATAGACTCATGGACTCTACAGACTCTATAGACCCTATAGGCCCTATAGACTCTATAGACCCTATAGGCCCTATAGACTCTGTAGACCCTATAGGCCCTATAGACTCTATAGACCCTATAGGCCCTATAGACTCTATAGACCCTATAGACCCTATAGGCCCTATAGACCCTATAGACTCGATATACTCTATAGACTCTATACAGTCTTTGCCTCCTATGCTGCCTACGTCAATCTGTGTGTTTTCTTGAAACAAATCCATAAACATCCACACTGGTCCACACTGGTTGTTTCGAATTGCGTGCATGGCCCAAAATGACCCAACTCTCACAAGATCAAAGGAGCGCACAAATATTCAACATAGACAAAAACTTCTTCTTGTTCCCAAAAAAACCCAACACAAGAGCTACCCTGTCCTACCAAAAATCACAGCCAAAATGTAAATCAGCTGTTACGCATGCGCTGCCTACAACGGCGGGAAACTGAAAAGAGCAGGCTAGGCACGAACAGGCACGTGCATGATATTACCATCATCAATAAAACCGCACAGCACAGGGGTAGCTACACTTGAGATGAGAACAGGCCAAACATCATGAATGAGAAGCGGGAGTCACTCGGCCACACAGACCAATGAAACACAACAGATAGTCTATACACAACATTCCTCCCCCTTGAGCAAACATGCAAATAGCAGGGAGCGAAAACTACATACACCCAGAAGAGCAAAAAAAAAAAAAAACAACGAAAAACAAAAGGCAAAAACAAGTATATGCCACACCAGCATCTTGCCAGGAAAAACAAAAGAGCATAATGTGTACTTCCTCCGATAGAACTAGCTCATCAGGACCGAAACTATTGAAGACCTTTGCAACCCACTCGTGCTGTAACACGCATAACATGATTCCTATCACCCATAGCTCTAACAGTACCACACAGCATGAAATATGGCTAGCAGATATTTTATTTCATTATCACTGATCAGCCAACGTCTTCGGTATTAGAATCAGTTACTCAGTACTTAGCTCGGGGCGATGAGTTTCACTTCACAGGTCACGCATCTTCACGACCGACTCCAAGCTGTTAACTCGGTCACTCGACGGCTCCACTTCCAGAGGCACAAGGTAGCGAACATGCCGACGGTAGACTTTTCCCCGGATGTTGACATCCACCACACGTGTCGCTCCGTCCTTGCCTGGGTAGACGGCTTCCACTCTTCCCAATGGCCACTTTGCTCGTGGAAGATGGTCGTCGAGGCATAGCAGAACATCTCCAACCTGAGCTGACCTCTGAGCACGTTGCCACTTGGTAGTCAGGTTCAACCGTGAGACAACCTCTCTCTTCCAGCGCCTCCAAACTACCTTCAGTAAATGCTGGATGATGTCGAAACGCCGATGAGGATGAGCTCGCTCAGCCAACTCTGCCTGTTCCTCCAGTGGACTCGTGACTCGAGCGTGTCCCACCAGAAAATGGTGAGGCGTCAATGGCTGAGGGTCGTGGTGGAAGAACTGAAGATGAAAATGCAGTAACAGGCTTGGCGTGAGGACGTTGCTGTACAGAAGGCATTGCTCTCGCTCTGAATGCTCCACCACCCTGCCCTTGAGTTTGACTGGGTGCTCCACTCACAACTCTGTTCACTGCGACTCCAGGTGTACCAGTACCACTACCTGCACTAGCACCGTAGGCAGCACTAGACACTTGAGTAGCGGAGTGTTGATGATGTTGAGGCTGTCCCACAAGCACACTACTCTGAGTAACACTAGCAGTTGTGAATGTAGCTGCATGCACAGCGTGACCTGGAGGTTGCAACGAGGATCGAGTTCCAGAGCTAGTATCAGCGCTGCTGCCCCTGCCTTGCATTCCTGGACTGCCTCTAAGTGCTAGTGCACCTCTGGCCCTAAGCCTGCTATCAGGGTAATCACCCACTGTCCCATCATCTTGAGCAGCTCCATGAATGGCATGATCCCTTTGATCAGCAGCAGCGGCAGCAGGCGTTTGCCAGGGAACAGCAGTGCTGCATCCGTCAGTGACGCCACTGTGATACATACCAGTACTATACATAGTCACTACTGATGCATCATCATCACTACAAGCTCTCAGGCTGGAACTGACACCAGGGTCTCCAGAAAACTCCGTTCCTCCGTCATCAGCACTACGTGGCGCGCTGTGGGCAAAATCTTCGCCCTCTAGCTCTTCCTCTAGAGGCTGCGCTGACAAGTCACCATCGCCACTGGGCTGACTGGCTGACTCCAAAACTCCTGACTCAAGGAGCGAACTAACTTCTGCCAGCGGAGAACAATCCTCGTTCAACTTCTCAAACCACTTTTCCAACTTCTCCAATCCTTCAAAATCTGCATCGTCTCGCAATTGATTCCTGTGGTCCTCGACCACTTCTTCGATTTGTTTTACTATTCCTTCGGCGTCAGCCAGGTACTTTTTGAGGTACCTCGCACTCGGCGACGACTTCCCATACTCCGTGTTCAATACCTTCAGCAGGTTGGTCAGTCTTCTCCGCAGGGAGGCACGAAACTTTACATAGTCGTAAGTCACACTTTGGGCTGGAGGTGCCTGCGAGCTGGTCTCCGGAGCGTCAGCTTCGGTGTCCTGCCCATGCTCGCCAGACAGCTCTCCACTCCCCGCGACAGTAGTGGTTTCTTCGTCGTCCATGTCTTCAAAATGCACGCATCCCGTCGGAGGTGCCAGTAATGTTTCGAATTGCGTGCAAGGCCCAAAATGACCCAACTCTCACAAGATCAAAGGAGCGCACAAATATTCAACATAGACAAAAACTTCTTCTTGTTCCCAAAAAAACCCAACACAAGAGCTACCCTGTCCTACCAAAAATCACAGCCAAAATGTAAATCAGCTGTTACGCATGCGCTGCCTACAACGGCGGGAAACTGAAAAGAGCAGGCTAGGCACGAACAGGCACGTGCATGATATTACCATCATCAATAAAACCGCACAGCACAGGGGTAGCTACACTTGAGATGAGAACAGGCCAAACATCATGAATGAGAAGCGGGAGTCACTCGGCCACACAGACCAATGAAACACAACAGATAGTCTATACACAACACTGGTTTCCCTTGTGCCGTGTCTCTTACAGGCACGATAATTGGCTTCGGAGTGCTCTACTTCATCCTGGCCGGTATAACCGCTGGCATGAGCATTGCGTCTGGTCTCGTTGTGCCAATGCTGACCATAGGTAAGCAGCGGGGATAAGCACTGTGCCGGCGGGGGGGGGGGGGGGGGGGGGAGGCTGGTTAGTGATTACACAGTGTGCATAGAATGCACGGTGAACGACTGCTATGTGTATGTGTATGAGTATGGGCATGGGTGGAATAGATGCATCGTTACACACATTTGGTGAGCACTTCAAGTGATGTTTGCAGCAAAGAGATCATGCTTTGGGTGTCTGAGTTGAGGGATCCTTATGTAACACTAGTCTTGTGATTACCTTCTCTTTAGGTGGATACAGGCCAGCAAGAACCCCACTAGCACTAGTACTGTAGCAATTGTGCAATTATAAAAGTGGCTCTGTACCTATTGATCCGTGTTTGCTGTGTGTATGTATGTGGATATGAAACCCGGAAGCTGGTGCGAACAAACACCGTCGTTTTGACTATCCCGATGTGTTTTTAAAACTGCATTGCTGAAGTTTTCTAACGTTAGCTGTGTCAATCTCCTGCTTGTTTGTGCACTGCAGGTGGATGTCTGGGCCGAGTGTGGGGAATATTCATCAATGGTGAGCCTCGTGAAATATACCTGCAGATATAAAAGCGGACTATAGAATTGAGACTATAGAATTGTCTGATCTATCCTCCCCCACCGTTAAGGAGCCGCATCTGACGCCTGATCATGGGGTGGTGGCGTCCCACGGAAGCGGAAAGGTGGTTCTTTACCAGGGAGTTGTACGACTCCTTGTTCTTGACCTGCCCGGTACGCGAACCCGTCGAATTCTTTTTCATAGAATTGTCGCACTCACCTTCAAGCTGAGATCTGTCCTGATAACTTGTGGCTTGTCATAGGCGCTTTACCACTGTAGTCAATACCTAAAGGGTTTGTTGCCCTGAACATCACTCGGTAAATTTTGAAGCCACACCTGGTGACCATGCCTGTGGGATACACCCAGCTGAGCCCGATGAATCCATTGCGCAATGACGTAGCTTACACCAGCAGCAGCCTACAAGGCCGCCTGGACATGGCTTTGTGGAGCGTTGACCAGTGCCTTCTTAACCTCAGCAAACTTTCATGCATTACGCATGCTAGTGTGGTTGGCTAACACCCACTGTCTCCAAATTGGCCACTTTTTTTTAATTATTTATTTATGGATTCCCCAAAGGCCGAGGCCTAAGTGGAGGGGGTCTCCGCTCATAGCTTACTGGGAATATATCTGCAAAAAGGTTAGTTACTCCACTGCACCTGGAGATGTTGCAAAAAAGAAATAAGAAATATCTAGGAAAATGTAGGCACAAGTTATGCGATTGAGTCCACCAACTAAACCAGATTTTGAACAGGCAGACGTGCACAATCTAGCACAACTAGCATAACTTGTGCCCACATTTTCCATGTTACGAATTTTTTCCTTGGCTCACCATCTGAGTTCTTTAATATAATTATCTAGATTTGGCGATGAAAAAAAAGTGGGTTGACTATGGTCGCGATGTTTCTTTGGTCATCTTCAGAATACGTCAAGGAACGCAACGGTGAGCATGGTGCTGACCCGGGTACCTGGGCAATGCTCGGCGCCGCGGCCTTCTGGAGTGGCAGCGGTCGTGTGACCGTCACCATCGCTGTTATCATGCTGGAAATCACCGGGTGAGTGTGTATATTCACTGGTTTGAGGGAAAGATGCAAACGGGAAACGTCTGAAGAAAACATTGACTGTCACCACCAGGACTCGAACCAGGGACTCTCGCTTGTAGCCAGCGATGCTCTAACCTCTGAGCTACAGTGTAGCCGTCATCCCAACAGAGACCGTTCAACGTTCTCTTCAGATTTCGTAACCCACACTTCCTGTAAGTCCACACAGGCCGGTGGGACGCAGCCCTCACTGTAACCCACACACTTCGCGTACAACTGAACTAGCACGCGGGGAGCCCCAAGTCATGGAATATTCACTGGTTTGAGGGAAAGACGCAAACAGGACTGTGTATACTGGACAACTTGTTGATGTAACCTTCATTTCATCCGTCCATTCATAAATATAGTAGAAGTAGGTTCTTGTTTCCACACAATACTTTCAGCCACCAGCACGAACAGTTCATTTGTGAACTGTTCGTGCTGGTGTCTGCAAGCATCGTGTATCCTGGACCCTGAAAATTACTCCCATTTCAGGAGTTGGGGGTTCTCAAAATGTTAGGTATATGGGCAAAAGATCAAGTTAGGCGAAAATAATTTGCTCTCTCTCTCTATTTCTCCCTCCCTCCCTCTATCTCTCTCACTCTATCTCTTTCCCTGTCTCTCTCTATCTCTATCTCTATCACCCTCTCTCTCTCTCTCTCTCTCTCTCTCTCTCTCTCTCTCTCTCTCTCTCTCTCTCTCTCTTTCTCTCTCTTTCTCTCTCTCTCTCTCTCTCTCTCTCTCTCTCTCTCTCTCTCTCTCTCTCTCTCTCTCTCTCTCTCTCTCTCTCTCTCTCTCTATCCCTCAAAATGTTAGGTATATGGGCAAAAGATCAAGTTAGGCGAACAGAATTTGCTCTCTCTCTCTATTTCTGCCTCCCTCTATCTCTCTCTCTATCTCTCTCCCTGTCACTCTCTCTATCTCTATCTCTCTCTCTCTCTCTCTCTCTCTCTCTCTCTCTCTCTCTCTCTCTCTCTCTCTCTCTCTCTATCTATCTATCTATCTATCTATCTCTCTCTCCCTCTTCCTCGCTCTATCTCTCTCTCCGTTTGTCTCTCTTTCTCCCCTCTCTCTTGTTTTCTCTCTCTAATTTTTTCACTTTCTCCGGCTCTCTCTCTTTGTTTGTAGCAAATTCCGTTTCCTGCCGGCAATCATGGTCACAGTTATTTTCGCCAAGTGGATCGGTGATTGGCTGACTCATGGCTTGTATCATGAGCTGCTTCACGTCAAGCACATTCCATTCCTGTCCGATGCCGTGCCAAAGAGAATGTGGTTCAGAGTCTTTGGTGAGTAGGGCAATTGACCTTATCGGCGATAAGCTTGATGGGTGTTTGTGTGTGTTACATAGTCCTGCGGGCAGTACAATCAACTTTGCGTATAAGGACACTCGGCGGGGCATCAGAAAAAGTGTCCTTATTTGTGAAGTGTCCTTATACCCGAAGTCTCATTAAATGTATTACAGTTAGATGGGACTTTGCTCTGGGAATGGAAATTCTGTCGTTAATCGCAAATTGTCGTTATGTCCGCAGTCGTTATTAGCGAAGTTGACTGTACTTTGCTCCCATTTACAGGTAAAATCGCAATGAGCATCATCATACCTAGTGTGTGGCTCGTGATGTCTGATAAATGTTCTCAGAGCACAATGCTTGTAACGATCACTGGATTTGAATTACAGGAATTGCATGTGCTCAAATCCACAGCTTTAGGAGCTGCATCTGTGCCTTAGATATTTACAGGGTGATGGCGTTCCTACGGATGCTCAACACTCAGTCAACCTGAGTCTCAAGAGAACTGTGAAAACAATTTAATTTACCAAACCTCTCCACCCTTTTGTTCTTGTAGCCAAGGACATCATGGTGAGAGACATGATCACGTTCCGGCCTGTCGAGGACGTGTCTCGCATCCGCCAGGTGCTGGAGGACAAGGCTCACAATCACAACGGATTCCCAGTTACTAGCGAGTCCGACGGAGAGGACGCCCTACTGGTAAGTCATTACTGTAGCATTATACAGTAAAAAAAACTAATCCGGGCAGGTCGGGACCCGGCACTGCCCAGATCTGGGCAGGTCGGGACCAGGCACTGTCCGTAACTCAGAACATTATTATACTTAACTGCATGCAAGTAAAAAAAATGTTTATGCAAGTCAATAGTTTTCGGGCCGTTTTTCCGTGGAAAGTCATTTTTGTGACTGTAGATGGGTCTGAAAGGTGCCCGTGAGGCGGATGTGCCTGGATTAGGGCGTCCGGATTAGGGGATTTTTAGTGTGTATTGACAAACGTTTGCGGGACCCACCGATGTAAAGTGCGAGCCATTTCATGAAGGATACCGGTACAGGTACTATCGAGCTCAACATTATTGAAGCAAGCGGTTTCTAGGACCATTTGCAACTATGGTCAATATCTGCTACTGTCAGTCAACAAAATAATATATTTATTTTTGGCTATTTTTGGCCTGGTCATGTTTGGCCGAAAAATGTGTTGCGGCCAAAATTTTGCTTTTGCAAGGTTCAGTGTGACAGTGTATACAGGCGGCAGCAGTACAGGCTGAAAATTTGATGCGGTTGAAATGGGTTTTAGCCCTGGGAGGTCGAATTTTGAATGGACCGAACATTTGCAGACTTACAATATGCACCAGCTTTACCATTGCACCCCTCTGTACACACGATTAGGATGTAAGGGTTCACAGTAAATGTTGGGAGCTCCCTAGTGACCTAATACAACCTGATACTATTTATTTTGCTCGCTCAATGACGTGCTATTTCTGTGCGGCTATTCTCGATTAATCTTCGCATGGTCCACCCAAGTTTGATCACTCCGCTTAACCAATTTCCTGCGGAAATACCTTTAAACTTGGTCCTTTAAATACCAACGATTGTGTGCTACATCCCGTCCGCTCTATGATTTTGTGCACGGAGGATTGGTGAGCAGAAACGTTTTGCGTCACAAAAAATGTCGCGGACCAACATTTTTCCTTCAGAAGCTTAAGATTTGGGCATCGCTCCAATGTTCTTGCCAGTTGATTTGGTACGACACGGCTGTCACCTGCAAGAGAGGTTTCAACACAATGTGTTGAAACCTCTCTGCATATATCAAGCATAGTGCAGAGCAATGTCATTGTTCTGCACTATGCTTGATATGTGCAGCAGAATGTCTGTGTGCAGTGCTCTGAAGTACATGTACAGTGCTGCTCTCCTGAAATGTGATCAAGCCAGTGAATGCCACACCGGGTGCTGTGCAGCCCTAGACCTGCAAACACTGATTTCATTGAGCAGCACTTTACTTGTATTTTGCCCAATGCGTGTATTTTGTGTTGTCGGCTATTCCTCTGCAGCTTGGTGTTATCTTGCGCACTCAACTGGAAGAGCTTGTTTCCGGCACGTCTAGTTTGCAGGTTAGTATGTTGAGACTGGAGTCCTTGTCTAGAGTCTCAATTTTGTTGAATATTTCATAATTGTAAGGAGCCTTGCCACGAGAAAACGGGGCAAGTGCACTTCCTGGCGAAATGAGATGTTGCATGGAGAAGATATCCAAAAATCTCTGGAATCACATTCACAAAACGGAGCAAACCTTATTCAATCTTCATGGATTTGTGGTGACTTTTGTGCCTGTGTGCACATGCATGTGTGTCTAAGTGTGTGTGTGTGTGTGTGTGTGTGTGTGTGTGTGTGTGTGTGTGTGTGTGTGTGTGTGTGTGTGTGTGTGTGCATGTGTGCGCATGTGTGTCTAAGTGTGTGTGTCTGTGTGTGGCTGTGTGTGCGTGTGTCTGTGTGTGTCTGTGTCTGTGTGTGTCCCGGTGTGCGGGCATGCAAGCATGCGTGCTGACGTGCGAGCGTGTGCGAATTCTTGCTCTGTGTGTAGTGTGGGTATATTCTGTGTGTACGTGTCTATGTCTGTCTGTGTGTACATTTCAACTTTGGGCCTAATCTCCACTAACCTCAGCTTGAAGATGACCATCTTGTTTTTTGTTTTTTTTCCTTTTCCAGGTGGACATTGGTCGGGTCATGAACGAAACTCCGTCGACAGTTATCACTGACACCACCTTTCCCAAGACATTCCAGTGAGTGTGTTTCTCCTAGGAATCTCCCATTTCTACTTACACATAAGTTCTCTCACGTTGTGAGTGATGAATACCACACGAATAAAGCAGTTCCCCTGGATGAGGTTTCTCTCCAACAGGTGTGTACCCACTCTCAACTACAATCCAGAATGTTATGACAATAGTCGTACTCTCCTGACAAGCAGCGGGATATGATCGTGGAGATAACAATCGTTGTTCCTCTGTCTTTCATAGGATTGCATTGAAACGCAGCAGCCAGAACTTTATGCGCTGTCAGGACAGTTGTGACTCCACCTGTCTACATTGAATGAACTTAAATTCGGCACTGATGCAGGGCCATAGGCAGCTTCCGCGGAGCGGTGCGACCGAAGGGCCATCTTTACGGGGGGGTGGGGTCCTCCCCCAGAAAATTTTGGAATTTAGATGGCAAATCCTGCACTCTGGGCGACTCCCTGTACAAAATCATACATCGAGACTGTTTCTCCCCGGTTTTGGACGTTCCACGTTGACCGACTTTTTGAGAAGTTGGTACGGCCATGGCCGTACCGGCCGTACCAGTGGCGCCGGCCCTGTGATGGACATCTCACAACGAGTCAAGTATTCACTTTCAGGTCCGCAAGCAGTTTTGGATTGGTCCAGTAGTATTGTGGCCTTTCATACAGTTTGTGTATCGATATGGTGGATACACATGCCCTCCTCAGCAGTAAACATGTCTTGGTGCCCAAAGGTTGGTCGGGAGATAACCAGACCAACCGGACCGGTTCCGGCAGCCCTGCCCTTTCTTAACTGGTATCCTCTCTGGCTTTGGACTGTGTTCCTTTTGCCCTCTTCAGTCTGTTCCGTGCCATGGGTGTACGTCATCTGATGGTGGTGGATCGTAACTATCACCTGCATGGTCTCATCACACGGTGGGTTGAGCAAAAGAACTATTGTAGTGTACAGTCAACTTTGCGTATAACGACACTCAAAGCGGGGCATCAGAACAGTGTCGTTATTCGGGAAGTGTCCTTATACCCGAAGTATCATTATAATTATGTATTACAGTTAGATGGGACTTTGCTCTGGGCATGGAAATTCTGTCGTTATTCGCGAATTGTCGTTATACCCGCAGTCGTTATACCCGCAGTCGTTATACCCGCAGTCGTTATACCCGCAGTCGTTATACCCGCAGTCGTTATACCCACAGTCGTTATTAGCCAAGTTGACTGTACTAGATATACTAGGATGTGGTCAGTGAAAATGTGGACTCCTTGTATTGTGCTGCTCACAAATGCCCTGCATCCAAGGCTGTGCTCCACTCGAGTAGAGGCCCGTGAGATATTGGCCATTGCCGTATTGTGTGTGCACACGTGTGTGTGTGTGTGTGTGTGTGTGTGCGTGCGTGCGTGCGTGCGTGCGTGCGTGCGTGCGTGCGTGCGTGCGTGCGTGTGTGTGTGTGTGTGTGTGTGTGTGTGTGTGTGTGTGTGTACGAGCTCGTATCTATATCGTCCTGTACCAGGGGTAGCATTGTGCCCACTGCTTCTCAGTTGTTTTTAGTCACTTTGGTGCTGACATTGCATGCTACACATCTGTGTCAGTATTTCCGAAACACTTCCTGGGTGGTTTTCAGTTTGTGGTGTGCTCCATAAATAAATTCTTCATATTATGTTATCGCAATAAACAAAGCCAATCCACACCCAACAAGCACCGATTCGTTTGGCTGAAACAATTTCTCCAAAATTTACCTACGACTACCTAGGATACATCAGCCAAGAAAATAAACCAGCTTCCTTTAGCAGAAAATAGAGCTACAACCAGTACGGCAGCAGATGGGAGCAGCAAATTATTGTGCTAAGAATGTACAGTGAAACCTGTGTAAGACGACCGCTCAAGGGACCTTCAAAGTGTGGTCTTTGTTACCAGGTGGTCTCCGTATCCAGGGTCGTTTGACTGGAAATAGCATCCCTTGATTCTGGTTGCGGTGGTCTTGTAGGACAGGTGGTGGCCTGGACAGGTTTCACTGTACTTGTTTCAATATCACCTAGTGTTCTTAGAAATCCAGTATTGATGACACTACAGACTATGAGCTGTAAGAAAATACCTTCCCTGTTCATGGATGCAACTTTGTGCATGTATGTAGCGTTATGCGTGCGTGTGTGTGTGTGTGTGTGTGTGTGTGTGTGTGTGTGTGTGTGTGTGTGTGTGTGTGTGTGTGTGTGTGCGTGCGTGTGTGTGCAGCCAGTGCATGCCGGAGTATGTGGTGTGATATGTGTGCGTGAAAAAATGAAAAAAGACCAAAAAGTAGGGATTCACTGGCCAGAAAAAGCCACTTCATAGCTGTGTGGTGTAGACCAGGTTGAATAGTGGCGGTCAATTCTTCAGCCTTGCAAGCTGTTGAGTGGTGCAATCCCAGCACAAGCTGCTATGGCTTCTGCTGTAGCATCGCTATCATCGCCTCCGGCGATGGGCGTCAAATGGTCCAAATGGTGTGTGTGTGTGTGTGTGTGTGTGTGTGTGTGTGTGTGTGTGTGTGTGTGTGTGTGTGTGTGTGTGTGTGTGTGTGTGTGTGTGTGTGTGTGTGTGTGTGTGTGTGTGTGTGTGTGTGTGTGTGTGTGTGTGTGTGTGTGTGTGTGTGTGTGTGTGTGTGTGTGTGTGTGTGCATATGTGTGCATGCGTGTGGGTATGTGTTTGTGTCTGTCTGTTTGCCTGTCTGTGTCGTTGTCTGTGTGGGAACTCTAATCCCTGTGTGTCTCATTGCCCTTGCTGCACACAGGAAGGACGTTGAGCACGCGCTGCACCACAGCAAGGACAAGAAGAACAAGCACGAACACGACGGTGGAGCCGGCAAATTCCACGAGAGTCCAGACGTTGAGGCAAGTCTGGCCTACGCTGGAGATAGCAATGGCGGGGAGAAGTCAACTCAACTCAGCTCACCCTTGTTGGAGGGTGAAAATTGATTTGGTGATTCTGTCTATAAATAGGTCTGCAGCCGGGTTTGCTAGAATTACTTTGTGAAGTGTAAACACCCTCTTTAAATTTGTCAAGCCTAGTTTAGATAACACATGCTCCCCATTTACCTTTTTTTATCAAATTTTGGTGCAAAAATGATGTTGTAATGGCAGTTGCCAAATGTCCTGTTCATGAACACAGAAAGCCAAATGATTACCACAAGCCATATTCCAGCAGTGTCCTATATTTGCCAAGCTTCACTTACATGCACATGCAGCATGTTATTCTGTCCTCATCAGGCGATATCTGCCTCACATCATCAGGCGATATCTGCCTCACATCATCAGCTGGAGACCTGCTTGCTGGCAGAAAAGATTCCTCTTAGATTCTATGGAGAACTTATATTATTGAAAGGCGCATTATAATGCCGATAATAGTATTTAGCCACATTCGAATTTTACTAAAATGTTTCTAAGTTCAAGAATTTTGCCTGATTTTTGAGGCATACAATTTGGCCCACCGTTTGAAATGGGGCTGGCTAGTTGCTAAACTGCATCAGTGGCCTGACAGCTGGCTGCTGGTGGGCGTGGTGGTGTGTGTGTGTATGTGTGTGTGTGTGGGGGGGGGGGGGGGGTATAAATTTTGTTTCTATTTCACTTGTCTGTCCCTGCGGGAATTTGCGGAAAAAACTCTCGAAAACTTGCGCAAGAAATTGCGGCAGAAAACAACAAAAAATGCGACGAAAAGTGCGGAATGATGCAGAACTTGCCAGGAATTCGCGGAATTATTTGCAGAAAATTGCGGATTTGGGCCAAATCACGAAATTTGTTGCATCGTATATCTACTCCGGAGTAGTACTAGTCATACTGTGCAAATAACCTACAGGATCATGGAAAGCACTGTGTGAAAAGTGCATGAAACATGTGAGATATAGTGCAGAAAACAACAAAAAACGCGGGAAATCACGGATTTTGCTGAAAATCGCGGGTTTGGGCCAAAATCGCGAAATTTGTTGCATCCGTGGAATCGCGAATTCCTGGAGGGACAGACTTGTATTGAAAAATCGAATTGCAGCAGTGATATGCAATAAAATTAATGAATTATGCAACCATCAATTCATCAGTAACACATGAAAAGGGAGAACCAAGGAAAAATAAGCTCGGTAGCAGCACTTCGTTCGCCAGGTGGGTAAAAATAACGTAATGCAAAGGATCATGCTGCTGAACTGACAGGACCCAACCTACGGCGGTTTAGGTTCAGGTTAGTACTGGTTGATTTGGAACGATGAGAACATTCTGATAATAGCCGACCTTGCTCGACAATGACGGACAGCTGAACAAAGAGCTTCTTTCATATTTTTGCATTTTCCGAAGATGTGACCACACTCAGCTTCATTTGTGGAAGTGGCAGGTGAAGCTACCAACCTGGCAACATATCTCCAAGCTTGTCTTTACTAGGTTGCCTTCATCAGTCTCGGCAGAAATGTACTTGTATGGAAATATATTATCGTAAAAAAAGAGAAGAAACAGAACGAGTGTGTTTCTTCTCTTTTTTACATTTATTACTGGCTCAGTATCCGAGTTTAAATAATTATATTATCAGTGGGTATAACATACAAGAGAAGAAGACGAATGAGCAGAATTATGCGAGCAGAAAGAAAAGCAGAATCGGCAGATTTTCCTAGCAGAATCCGCCGACCCCTACGAGTCGCAAGCACATGGCGGACTTCTCGCCCGATCTCGCTTGCGTCACACAGCACGGTGAAACGACATGTTCATGTTTCTCACCAATGTTTCTCACCCTTGGTTATTTAATAGTGATCCCACAAAAAAGGTGTCACTTGAGACTCAGCTAGACTGAGTTTTCCCCTGCAAAGATCTAAAGCGCACATGCAGTTCCCAAAGCGGCGGGAGGTGAGTAGATTATTACCACTAGATAACCTGATAAGCTCACCAGCCAAGCTCTGCAGTAGAGGGGTATACATTTCAGAATGGCTTCTTTGGAGCTGAGAATAATCTTACCTCACCAGGTCAAGGTGTGGGTCCTCTTCACACACTAGAGACCAGTTGATCGAGCTGTACTCCCGGTGCCGAGAGGCGGACTCACACCCCAGTGTAGCAACTTCCCTATGTCAAACCCCCAAGACGAAGTAAAGACAGTACTGGCCGAAGTTTTTTACCCTGTCCTTCTCACTTCATGGGAGCTTCATGCAGCAGAATCTCTCAACCAATATTTTTCTCTACTAGCATCTAGGAATGGGTTTGCTCCCACACTGGAGCTCGCGCTATTCCGCCGACGATTTGACACTTGACTGACTCCAGCGTGGGAGCAAAGCTGAAGTCGCAACCTCTATTTCTTACTAGTATCTACCTTATATTAACCCTTTGGAGTCCGTAACCTTGTTTTGTTGAAACATGTTATTGGTGGAGAGCATGTAACCAGTTGGAGGCCCGCGTAGAAAGGTCACTGTTTCCGAACACGGTGGTCCTCCACCTTGGTACATGCTGTCAACCAACAACATACATAGTATCTACCTCTGTCTGTATCAGTATCTCAATCTTTCTCTCTCACTTCTGATCAATTCTTCATCGTACGCTCCATACTACCATCGGTCAGTGGAGCCTGCAGCACCTCATCGCCACCAGTGCCTTTGCATTGCAGCCCTGTTCAGTTAATGTCTATCTTGTTAGTCTGTTGTGTTTGTCAGTACCTCCTTTTTCTTTTTTTTAGGGTACCATTTTTATTTTTTTCAACTACCGTATTTCCCCGTAAGTTTGTTCTCCCGAATGACTTAGTAAAAAAAAAGTAAAAGTAAATTATCGTATCCGTTCCCGAAGGGAACTCACGACGGCCGCTAACACCCGATAAACCCTAGCGGCAGATGCAGCGCCTAACGGTGGGGGTGAGTGGGCAAGTCTCACAACCACTGGCACAAGTGCCGAAAACGACCCCATTAGCTGCATCCATGTACCCCTTGTGCCTGGCCACAAGTTCCCAGTTGACTGTGGGTAGCAGCACGGCTGGAAAAACCGCTCCCAGGCAGGACTTGAACCAGGTACCTCTCGTATCTCAATCATGGTCTTTGACCAACCCACTGTGCCTGCCTGGTCTAGTACCCCCTATAAAAAATACACTTTCCACTGCCGAGGTTATCACCCCGAAAGACAGTTTCCCCCGAAAGATAGTAAGTTCGTACCCGTCCTACATGTACAGACACCGTACAGTAAGTAAAAGTAAGTAAATTATCGTGTCCGTTCCCGAAGGGAACTCACCGTACAGTACATACATCATAATTATGCACGGACACTAGAGTTGCGCAGGCTTCCCACTGCGTGTCATTTACCCCCGATAAAAAAGTACTCCCCGAAAGATAGTACACTCATGACATGTGGCTGCTAAGTTCGAAAGTTAGTACGTACTAACTCACGGGGAAATACGGTAGGGTCCCAATTTCCTTGCACGCTGCGTGTAGCGTGTGAAAAATAGCGGCCAATTTGATTCTGGGCAGCACACACACACACACACACACACACACACACATATACACACACACACACACACACACATACACACACACACACACATACACACACACACACACTTGTACTTGTTGCTCATTGCCAAAACTGGTCACGTGGGTCTCCCCGGGAGAGGGGAGAGAGACTCAAAAGGAATCTTGGAAAGATGACTCAATTGGCTATTGAACCGCCCAACGGCCGACACCCCCTGAAATCCCCAAAACTCTGGGTGGAATTGAAAATGATCCCACTTATGGGCTCACCACACCTCAGTAAGTGGGTGAGGACAAGGTGCAGAAAAAGGATTGACGGCATCAGGGTATCCACACACGGGTAACCAGGTAACGCATAATGCAAAATTCAAGCGTTAAAAAAGTAGGAGCCCCACCTCCCATCATTCTAAATCCGGAGCACGACCATACGCCTGTCACATGTCCAGTATTACGTTGACAGTGCATCGTCTGGAATGTCCTGTTGTGTCTATGGCCAGCAGTATCGAAGCCTTGGCGACCCCATGTCATTGTCATGACAGACAGCGACGGATTGTATAAATCCAGTGGTCATTGCGAGGATGGGTGACATGACAAGTAAACGTGGAGACCGGGACAATAGATTAATTAGCTCCTGGCATCAGTGCAGACAGACACTGGGCGACCAACGCAATGTCGAGCACATGGTCGTTTCACTCGCCTGCTTTACACGTGAGTGCCACATCGAAGCGTTTAGATCCAGTGATCTGAACCGGCTTCGATGTGGCGCACGGGCATACTATTCAGTGGGCCAGGAAAGTTGTACAGTTGGCGATACAGTGTATCTTGATCCAAGTATTGTATTTCACGTTCGGTGTGGGCTGTGCAGCGCTGGACCTTGCGGATTGCCAGATTTTCCACTGAGAAGTAAATCAAGGTAGTTCGGACCTAACTAATTTACTTAGGGCTTAGCAGTGTAATCATCACGTGGACGCTCAGATCGCTCTAGCGTCCTTTCTGGAAGTATACGACACAGGCTTAGTGGGGTGGACCCATTGATCAATAGAACTATTTTATAACAATTCTGAAACGCACCCCGACTGAAGCGACTACGTGCTACGTAGCTCCATGCCTTGCCATCCATAGCGCTACACCAGTACGAACCGGTCTGGAACGTCCGCCATTTGCTGGAGCTCAAGCAGGCTGAACGCACACAGTAAGATAGCGGGTGTGCAGTGGTGAGGTGGGGCGGGATGGGGGAATAAAAGTTGTACTGTACGCGTATAACAACAGTAACTATATTGCGTGCATGTGGTTCCTCCGTCTCTCTTCACCACCATTTCCCCCCATCCCCTCATCCTGGAAACTCCCTCAAAAGTATCCGTTTACTTTTGGAGAATCCGTCAAGAAAAATGTGAATGAATGAATTGAGTGAATACAGGAGATAATGTTGAGTGCGACTCACCACTCCTATCACGGGCTTTTGCAGTCCAAACGAGCCCCGGGGTGTAGGTTTATATTTTCATTCTCTTTCATCTCATCTCATCCCTCGCCAGTATAATTATCATAGGCAATAAAATTGCCTGGGTTAGGTTCACGATTACGTTCAATTCACTTACAAACCCTTGTACAACCACATTGTTTATCAGTGTTCGTGTGCATGTATATGCTCTGTCCTGTGTACGTGTATGTGACAGGTTGTTTGCAATGGCATGGAGCACGTACTTTCGTCTCTGTACCGTATTGACGGCAATAGTGCAAGTTTACGCTCAGCGGTATGACTATGCCTGTAAGTTGGGAGGCCCAAAATCCTGGAATTTCCCCAAAAGATACGACATTAGCCTGGACAGACTATACCGTGGACGCTAAGTCTGTGCAGCTAGCTCTTGGCGGATAACCCACGATATGGGGTCAGTCTTTGGGTCATCCTATTTTTTTCTACAAAATCCACATATCTCCAGACACTGGGGTGAATAATGGAGTGTGGTGGTGGGGCCCATTAAGCTCCGACGACCAGAGGTCTCGGCTTCATAGCTCCATGGACGCACCAAAGGGATATTGGGTAGGGAGGATTAAATTGAAAAAGAAAACAGAAGAAAGAAAATGGAAAGATTGTATTGCTCAGTGAGCAAAAGAATAAGTTGAGTATTGAAGTGAACGCTGTTAGACTTTTAAAGTTGCAGAGTGTTCATTATTAAATAGTAAAGAAAAAGGACCAAGCCACTACAAGTTATGCTATAATGTCCACTAACACCACCAGTTACTACTACTAAACAATCGAGCAGTGTCATTATTATAATGGCGGCAGAAAATAAGCACAATTTGACAAATTCTTATCAGGGTAAATTTAGGCACTTCACGTGGCACCAGCTTTACAGATAAATCTACTCCTATCGAAACATGTCGCACAGTACCAGTACCCAAAATGGAACTTCAGTGTAGTGGTATTAGTGCTCTAACTACCCTTGCTGGTCAGACGGATCAATGAAATTGTACTCTGCGTGCACTTTCCTTTGCGTTTTTGCTTTGGTGTTTATTTATCACTATTGATTTTACAATCTAAGTATTTCTTTTGCCCGTACAAATAGGGGTGTGCGGATAATGCTCGAAAAAGTGGTAGATTCTGATCGGAAAGCAGTGAAATTGGCAGAACCATACAAACCTTATGGCGGGCAATTCCTCGAATTCTGCTCCATTTCTTTATCCACATACCAAACATGCATGAAACTTACCAGAAAAAGTACCGAATTCTGCCAATTTTTCTGCCGGCATTATCCGCATATGCCTACGTACAAGAGGCTTTAGTAGCATCCACTTTTCTAGACTTTACAATCATAACTGTACCATTCCTTCATGCCCTCAAACCTATCAATATGTACATGTACGTCTACTTTTCACGCAGAGATGCTAAACAAATGACAAAGCAACGAATAGAGCCATATGGGGGTGCACCAATAGCGGCCGAGTTGGGCTGAAGTTTTTTTCTACAAAATCCACATAATTATCTCCAGACACTGGGGTGAATAATGGAGTGTGGTGGAGGGGTCCAGTATGGCTGAATCAAACAACGAGACTGTTCCGAACTGTATTTGGATTACAGTAAAACCTGGTGTAAGCGACCTCTCGTTTTAGCGAGCACCTGCTCTTAGCGACCGTTTTTCCATGCACGGACAGTTCTACACAGACACTGTGGGACCTGGTTCTAAAGACAACCTGGCTTTAACGACCGCTTCTCCTTGCACCGTGGGGTGGTCGTTTAAACCAGGTTTTACTGTACTTCTCTGGATGGAAAACTTTGCAATTAAGACGTCATGTACATGTATGTGCTCTTCCCATACGGTTCAGTTCACTTCAACTGCAATACCGCTTCTGGACTGTACTATATCAGCTCAAGCACATGGAGATCTACTTTGATGGCCGAGGCTGACAATATCTGTACCCAGTCAAATCGCTATACTCTGGTCAATTCGTCGGATACATCTACAGCGTGCTTCGGTAACTACCTGGCGCATATCTACTCTCAGATTGGTAATACAACAGTGTATACGTCGACAGGCAATGGAGGTGTATCCTGCTACCCGCCAGCTAGCCCTTGCCCACCAACAGCGCTGGTCATATGCAAACAAAATCTGGTGGCAGCCAGCCCTCGTAAGTAGACTATTCGGCCTTGCATCGACACTTTTGCGAAGTTTTATTTTTATTTTTACTAAAAGCCATGTGGTGCACGCAACTGGAACATAAAGGGGGAGAGAGAGAGCTGGTCATATGCAAACAAAATCAGGTGGCAGCCAGCCCTCAATACATCTACTTGTTCTATTAGTGCTCGATCTGACAACTTCACCGTAGGAACACGTTGAGATATTTTGTTCATACATATTTTATTGTTTTCCAGAGTCTACAAGCCCCAAATGCCCTGCAAACCTGACGCTAGCCAATGCGATTGTGACGTATCCGTCCGGACTGAGATTCCCATCAGTGGCGTACTACACATGTGCGCCTGGGTACAGGTTCAGCGGCTACAGGAACTATGCTGACTGCGATACGCTTGGCATGTGGCTGCTAACAGACGGGAAATTCTGCTCCTGTAAGTTCATGTACAGTCAGTATCGCCTATAGCGTTGGTGTTTGATTTTGAGCATTTTATCACTATAAGCGATATATTACTATGACCGATACTGCATGCAATGTATGCGAGTGGGGTGTCAAACGACTCAGCGCGCCGTGCACATACGCACTACATACATGTACAATGTCATGTAGCTGGCTGTAGCTCCTGACACACAAAATCAGGATTTCCTCATGATGGAGGCATATTTTGGCAACTTGTACAAGCAAAACTCACCAAACAACACTCACTGGACAAGTTCTTCACGAAGAAGTAACACCCTGTTCTCCTCTGACATCGCTTGATTTCACATCAATCACTATAACCGATGCAAAAATAGTGTAATAAACGTCTTTTGAAATTATGAATTTGATCACTATAGGCGATATATTACTATAGACGATTATTACTATACGCGATAACTGTGTATACTTAGTTATGGCAAATGAAAATGAATTAGAGAAATTGATCACTATATCCGGTATATTACTATAGCCGCCAACCTTATAGGCGATACGGACTGTACCCCGTAGAGTGAAACTCACAAATACTTGCGTTTATTTCCCCCCCCCCCCCATTCTCACTGTCTCTCTCTCTCTCTCTCTCTCTCTCTCTCTCTCTCTCTCTCTCTCTCTCTCTCTCTCTCTCTCTCTCTCTCTCTCTCTCTCTCCTCACTCATTTTGTACGTGCTTTCATCCCCCCCCCCCCCACCTCACTCTCTTTTTCTCTCACGCGCGCGCGCGCACACACACACACACCTTGAACGTGCCCATTGCCGACGGCAAAGAAAGCGACGGAATTTTCTACTAGCTTTTACAGTACGGAGCGTGACACACACACAAACACTCACAGAGTCTATGATTATATAATTATAATAATTATGCGATTGCACTAATGTAATGGTTGCTTAGAACCTTGTGGACCTGATTCTGTCCATTTACAGCAATACAATGCCAAGGCGCACTGCCTGCACCAGTCAATGGTACCGTGTCTCCAGGAGGAATGCATTACCTATCGACTCGCACGTACTCATGCAATTTGGGATTCCATTTGGTTGGACAGAATACTACATTTTGCCAAGCAGATACGCAATGGTCTGGTAGCACACCAACTTGCGCAGGTACGAATCGGAAGGTGATCTGGTGATCCGCCTTTACAATAGTATTCGATCCCTGGAATTACTGGAGTTGCTGAGCCTTGCCTTGTAGCAGTGGCTGTACCAGTGCTAAACTTCTATAATATTATGACATAATTATTGTTATGAAGGTTTCCACTTTCGTAGCAATAGATACGGACGAGAGGAAGTGTGGGGAAGTTGTTTGGTATTGCATGAACATCTCACCACAATCTGTTTGTGCCCGCTATTAGAGAGGTTAAGATGCACGTTATTTCTGACGTGACGCGAAAGTTCAGCTCGCGTTATTTTCTCACACGTCGAAAAGTCAACGCGAGTGACCTGCTGCTCACGTCGAAATTTGGAGTTTTACGCCAAAATTGACGTGAAATTGCGCGTCACTTCGGAAATAACGTGCATCTTAACCTCTCTATTGAATATTATACTTGCCTTTCGTGCACGTACTGAACTACAGAGAATTTCTGTAAGAGGAGTAACAAAGAAACAAGGATTTACTACAGCAGCACATCGGAAAAGTTAGGAAGGGCTAGATAACAATGCAACGTACATGTACTGTACATGTAAAAGTACTCAATCTACATGTAAAAGTATTTATATGGGCATAGAAAAATACTACTATAGTGTGTACGTCATCACTTCAATATCTCTATCATGTACAATGTACAATGTGTAATGTACTTGGGCTGGCTGTTGAAATGTTACTTGGAGGGAAATCGCTTCCAGATCTGTTGTTTGTTACACGTTATGTGTTCTCACGCAGACATCACATGCAAGATTCCCACTATTCCAAATGGCAATGTGCAAGCTAGCAGTCAATCCCTAGTTCTCCCGGGTACTTTCATATTCATCAGCTGCATGGAAGGATACGTGTCAATAGGAGCCAATATTGCAACTTGCCAGGCTAATCAAACCTGGTCGGCATTGCCTACGTGCTCACGTAAGTCTGACAAGTTAGTTATCCCGTATAGTAGTGCACTACTGGCGAAGCTTCCTTATAATTATAACATTACAATATTGAAAAGGCGACGAGGAGACAATAACTTTATTAATGCGATTAATAGTATAAGTGAAGCGGACATTACGAAATGATGAATGAGAATACATGTATCAAAAATTGATGTTCCTAATCGATTTTCTTGAGACTATCATCAGGGAAAAATCGTATCAATTTTTGATACATGTATTCTCATTCATCATTTCGTAATGTCCGCGTCACTTATACTATTAATCGCATTACAATATTGACAGGAAGACAGTGTGGCCTGGGGATGCGAAGGCTAATTTGTGTGTTTCTGAACATTCAAGCGATGCCGACGCGGATCCTGCGAATATTATTATTTATTATTTTACAAATTGTCCCGTGTTGTGCGAAGTGATGGGAAGGAGCGTGCCACCGACATCACCTACAGTTGCGCTCACTGAAATCCGACCCAAGGTGCAAAACTGGCGCCCTGTACCAGTTTTGATTACATCATTGTATTTGAACATGTGTACGTCCAGCCGCATTCGTGCCACTACCAGGGCGCCAAGGGCCGTGCAAAATGCGGTCGCCAAATGTGCACTCTGGGTCGGAATTCAAAGAACGCAACTGTACATTATGCATCTACTTGTACCTACATATATGTCACCAGGTTGTTACGACAGAATTGTTTTCGTTCGTTTCAATTTATACACAAGAGAAAGGACCAAGGAACTACAAGTTACGCTATTGTCCACTAACACCACCAGTTACTAAACAATCAGCTCATGCGATAACATTGCACGACACTGACCGACGGTACTGACGTTCTACAACTAACTGGCTAACAGCTCTAGCACATCTTGGATGCGCACTCCAACAGCCTTCCAACTTGGAAGGTTCTAAGTTATAGAAAATAACATAAGGAGGAGAAGGTGAGCGCAACCAAGATAAGCACGAACTGAAAGTCTCAGCTGTGAAGGACGTTGGTGGATGTTCATGCATGTCGATGACGATACTGGCAAGACCATTGGACAATACGGTCAAACCACGATTCAAGTACGCAAAGCAACATTCCACACAACTTGTGTGGCTCAAAAATGCGAAGATCAATAAAAGGGGAAGCTATGCGAACAAGAATCATGAAAAAACCGAACGCCTCAGTAAAACAGCACTGTACTTCGACTATGATAATTATTTAGAAGGACAATAAGCAGCGGTAACAAGCAGCAGTTTCACACGACGATCGTTTCGCTGTATAGATAAAGACGGCTCATCAGGTGTGCAGGAATGGAGAGAGAGAGAGAGAGAGAGAGACCATGATTGACATACGAGTGGTACATGGTTCCAGTCCTGCCTGGGAGTGGGCTTTCCAGCGGCGCTGCTACCCATAGTGAACTGGGACCGTGTGGCCAGCCACAATGGGTGCATGGATGCAGCTAATGGGGTTTACACGATCCAGTGGTTGTGAGGCTGATCCCCCTCGCCTCCGCTGCATCTCCGCTATATTTCACGGTGCAAGCGGCCGTCGTGATTTCCCACAGGAACAGAGAAAAGCATTTACCTTTTATGAAGGCATCAGCCTGCACATGCAGGGTGATATTGATTTTAACGAGTTTACAAGGTACACGGCTTGTAAAAAATTGAAGTCTACTCCCTTCCTAATCCTCACATGCTAGTAGGCTGATCTGCAATAGATGTATGAGTATTGGCCTGATCGATGAACTCTTTCTGCTGTTTGGAACGCTAGCAATGCAACCAGCAGAGTATGATTTTTGAATATTCAAACATTGAGTGGACGTTGTTGCTTGCCCACTCACGTAGTCAATTCGTTCATCCTTTTTTGACAATCCATACTCCGTGCAGGGTTGACGACGCAGTCAAGGATTGACTACACTGCTGGCGGAGTCGGCGTGATTATTGGTGTCTTGATCACTGGCTTGGCGTGTGCCATAGCCATACTGATACACAAGCGGCGTAGATGTGAAACCAAGCAGAGCATGGAGAAGTCGAAAAATGAGTTACCAATGGTAGAACCTCCCCCAGTCATAATGAAAACGATGACGCAAAGCCCAGCCTATGAAGCAGCTGTCACGTCTCAGGCAGTGCCCACTTACGAGGTCCTGCCTTCATCAATGGCAGACAGGCCATTGCCTGCGCTGTACTAAATTTTAACGTGTTCAATCATGCCAATTTGGTCAATCGCTGCATAGGCATACTTCCTTTGACGTTGCTCTTCAGCTTGTAGTTTGTGTGAAAGCCTTTTTCTTACTCTTGTGGCTTACCCTACATGTATGCTATTTGTCCATTGCTGATATCATCGCAAATCAGGAGAACAATCAGTTTGGATCCAAAGGTGCATGTTTCCAATAGACCTAGGGTCCCCCTCCCCCAAAAGCCCTCCCCTCCCCTGGATTCGCCCACAGCATTCCTTTCTCATGGCTTAATATTGCTGATCAGAGTTTTTATACCAGATGTCCACGAACCATCAGGATTGCTGGTTTTTTTGTGCGCTGCCAAATCATGCTGTGGCCACGTTTCGTGCAATGGCTATGTACATGTACATGTATGAAAGAATTCTAATGAAATGCGATCCTTTGTATCAGTTCATCACCCTGTATCAGTTCATCATCCCAGTAGTCGCACTCGCAGGTCTGGAACTGCACAGTGAGTGGGGTTAAAATCAAAGAGCGAGCCACAGCAATGTAGAATCGTGTGTACCCGCAGATAACCGCCGTGGTAACAGGTCATCTGTTTCCATCCACAAAGCGAAGTTGCGATCAATTGAACTGTTAATCTCCGCAATCGAATTTCTCTGTGCGGAGATGACCTAAACACCTCTCCCTGCTACATCGCCGAGATGAGCGCAATACAACCGCATGCACTAGAACAGTTGAGAACGGCCATGGCCAAAATATCCGTTACTAGTATTTGGGACCGGGAATCGTAAACAATACCGGTATTTCCAAGTCCTTGGTTGAGACAAGCATGCATGCCTCACCTGCCTTGCCAGTTTTGCATCTCCTGCCCCTTTTGTCTGTTTGTCCTAGTCGTATGTCCACTGGGAGCGGTTTTTCCAGCCATGCTGCTACCCACAGTCAACTGGGAACTTGTGGCCAGGCACAAGGGGTACATGGATGCAGCTAATGGGGTCGTTTTCGGCACTTGTGCCAGTGGTTGTGAGACTTGCCCACTCACCCCCACCGTTAGGCGCTGCATCTGCCGCTAGGGTTTATCGGGTGTTAGCGGCCGTTGTGAGTTCCCTTCGGGAACGGACACGATAATTAACTTTTTTTTTTTATGTCCCACTTTACTGTTGCCCCACATCATCAGTAGGACCGTGTGCTTTAAACTATAAAAAAATGTGAAGTTGGTAGATGAGATCATTGTAATAGCTATCAACAGCCACACACTGAATTCAAACCTGTCCTGGTTGTACGTACACAATTTTACTTGTACTTGTATACTCAAGGCAACACAGGCACGATGGGAGCAGATACACAGATAAAGATGGATGATGAAGTGGACAGCAGCTGGTCACCCGCTGTCGGCTGCACCTGTTGCACTGGCATGGATATACCTGCACTGTACTAAGCACTTGAGGGTTCGTTTTGTGAATAATTGATTTGATTATGTATCATATTATCATAATACTATCTTTTTTGATCACGTGAGATCGGAGCCTCAGGGCAAATTTGGCCCACATGCTAGAAAGGAAGACATTGCTTGCTTGGCGCAAGCGACATTACGCCCTCATACCATGCAACACGCAGGACAAGTAACAGTTCATGCAATAGCCGCCATGTACATGTATTCGGTCGAGTGTGAAACAAGGTGAGATTTCGCCGCCGGGGAAAAATACCGGGGGCGTGTTGCTTCAAGATGCACCAGAGTGATTTGGCTAACCACCTTACCCCGGTGGAGATTGAGTTACGTCTCTTGTTCTCTTCACGTGTGCCTCGCCATTTTCTCCCTTTAGAGAGCGGGTAATGCTCGAAGTTTTCCTCTTTCCTGATTCCCCTAAATTACCCTCAATCCAATACTAATGATACTTTGACTACATTGTCTATATAATAATTATATAGACAATGTAGTCAAAGTATTATAAGGGCGCGTTCGAATTGTCACTCTTTGACTTTTCGAGGAGTTTCGTTTTCTGAAGAGGTGGCCTTATTGGTCTCTTCAGAAAAACGAAGCTCCTCGAAACTCCACAACCTCATTCGATGGGAGAGGTTGATTAGTTTGGAAGAGTTTGGAAGAGCTACGTCACGTAGTACATGTACATGTACGTGGAGATGGTCGATCTGATCGGACGTCATCATCGCCATGACAATTCCACTGAAAAACTCTAAAATTATAGAAACCCTTCTAATAGAAAAAAGGAAAAGAAAATTATCGTGTCCGTTCCCGAAGGGAACTCACGACGGCCGCTAACCGTTCTAATGGGACACTTCAACTAATCTCTTTATAAAATTTGTTTGAACAGTTGATGATGACAAATCGAACGCACCCTAAGCCAACATACATCGAAGTAAGATTTTACACGTACAGGTCTACCGTGGCTAGTAGACAATCCCCGGGGGCTGGGAGTTCAAAAACATTGTCTTTTAACGAGTATGTTCTGCTATCCGGACTTCATGTACGACTGTTATTATTACACATTTAAAAATGTGTTTCAGACGTCAGGGGATTTGGGATCGTTGTCTACTAATGGGGTGTGTCTTGTAACCAATGTCGTACTAACGAGGGTAGACCTGTGCTAATGGTACCAGGGGCTTCTCGTCATGTGAGAAGCCTGAAAAACATACATGTGTACATACAAATTTTTCCGGAGATGAACTCAGAAGCAACAAATGGGCTGTGGTGATTCTAGAAATGTGTGACTGAGACCCGATCGAAATCCTTTTATACTGGCGCGCAACAACAAGTTACAATGCCACGTTGGGTTTGCCACTTCATTGCGATCCGTTCAGTCTGGCGGTCTCAGAAAACCTTATAATAACGGGCGGAACATCCAGCTGCCGCGAGCCTGATGTGTATTAATTCACCTACATGATTTGCAATGCCAGCTGACCGCACATTTACATTGTACACTCTGACGTGATGTCCGGCAGCATCGCCATTGTTTTCCCTCCACCGAAGACGAGTAAACACACACACACACACGCACACACAAACACACACGTGCGAGATAGGGATGTCCCCTAAGCCTAATCGCTGCTCGGTTGTGACGTGGGCAAATGCAGGTAAAGCCGGACGTTTAGGTACATGTACATGTACATGTTGCCTGATGATCGTAGTAATACGTGAAACTCAGAGTTGTAACAAACCTTCCAATCTCTCTCTCTTGTGTACAGTCAACTTCGCTTACAACGACACTCGGCGGGGCATCAGAAAAGTGTCCTTATTCGCGAAGTGTCGTTATACCCGAAGTCTCATTATACGTGTCACAGTTGGATGGGACTTTGCTCTGGGCATGAATATTATGTCGTTATTCGCGAATTGTCGTTATATCCGCAGTCGTTATTAGCGAAGTTGACTGTATATCAGTCCAGTAATGCATGTCCAATCATGTAAATAACCTTAAAAGACCCTAGATGATCACACATATCGCCCTATACATGTACATGCATATTGTTAGATTGACAGCATGAAACAAGGTGGAGGACACTGTGTTCGAAATCAGTGGCCTTAGTACAACCTTCCGCGGTTGGCAGAGGCTTATCTAATACTGGTTCTGAACCAGTATTGGGTTATGATTATAATACTATGTACAGTCATGCACATGTATGTTGTATAGGCGAGCTGGTTTCATTGATGACATCATCAGTATAGCCAGACCTGCACATATTGAGTCGTGATGCAGCTCATGAACGTACAGCCTGCACAGTGATTGTAAGCCAGAAGGGGAGACACTTTCATACAATGACGTACATGTACATGTAGATGTACAATTATTATGTGGATGAACATGTACAATCATGTAGATGTACCGGTACATGTGCGTGTACAATGTAGATTCACGCGAGGAAAACTGTATATGGAAATCCTACCATCCTGTAAATGTTATGCATTTTACCAGTACATGTACTGCATGTACTTCGAAGTACATGTACTATGCTGTGACGAAATCGAGTTTTTCAGGATTCCCGGATACTCCAGTGGAGTTTGCATGCATGTAACTGTATCTCAAAGAAAGGCTCGCAGTCGCCGAAAAGCCTGAAAAGCCTGAAAAGGGCTCAATGCACAAATCAGGGAGCATTTTCACATACGAAAAAGGAGAGAGGATCCGGTTATCCAAGTGCAATGGTGTTGTAACTCGAAGTTTTATGCCGATGCATACATCAAGACAACAGCCTGAGCAGGTTCATCTCAATATTAGATAATCAGATGTTCCTTCCACTAGTAGACAGCTGTACATCTGATCATGTTCACCTAAGGCTAAACTGTACCTAAGGTTTTGCATCTGATCGCGTTGGTTTAAAATGAACTGTTCCGGACAACATGATTGATACGATGTACAGTACATGTCGGACACATGTGTTCACCAGATGCACACCAAATGATCCCGAGAGCAAGATACAATGTAGGCTTGGTATGGTCCATAGCGCCACACATGTACATGTACATGTACTTTCGTCAAAGTTAAGTATCGATGTACATTGTAAATATAAACGGTGTGAAGGAGACTAGTCAGTGAGATCAAACTCACTAGAACTCTCATCTTACATGAGCTGTGAGCGTGTACTCGTCAACTATGATCAAAATCTTGCATACAAAAATTATAGTACACAAATAGCATGTTCTAGGGAAGCCAAGGGTTAAGAGTAGCATGAACAGAGACTCAGACGCAACGCGATCTTTAGTATTCTTTACGCATAGCTCACGGGAAGTTGGACGTTCTGAAGATGTCAATGTTCGTCAGTTACAGTGCGGCCATGATAAGAATGCCAAGTACCGGTAATTGCTGCTCTATTCAATCGGCACAGTTTTTGTCGCTTTGTTAAATACCCATGACGCAGCTCACCAGATCAAGGTGTGGTTCGTCCTCACTCGGTCGAGTCGAGTCGAGTCGAGCGAGCTGTACTCCCGGTAGCCGAGAGGCGAATTCACACCCCCTGTAATATGACACCTTCCCCGCGTCCACGCCCCAGTCCAAGCCAATATTGCCAATACAGCACAGGGAAACTGGCCGAAATAGAAACGTGTGTGAGTGGTTGAGAGTTAGTTCGGCGGCGTGTTACGTTGATACAAGTTGCGTATTCTCACTTCCGTTTCTCAGCTTTGCAAGGCTATTTTCGGTTGACGTCTCTGACCTTCTTCACATTGGTCAGGTACAGGGTGTTGTAGGAGCACCAGTGGTTGTTGGTTGGTTGGTTTTTATTTCACTTCGCACATTCAAACGGGATGACGACCCAATAAAATGACGGCGAAGGCTTAGCCTAGAAGTGGCTATGGAAACTCGAAAGTATTATAAGGGCGCGTTCGAATTGTCACTCTTTGACTTTTCGAGGAGTTTCGTTTTCTGAAGAGGTGGCCTTATTGGTCTATTCAGAAAAACGAAGCTCCTCGAAACTCCACAACCTCATCCGATGGGAGAGGTGGATTAG